CACTGTACTAAAGAGTTTATGTTTATCCCTATATGTGACCTAAGTTTTAGCCTCAGCCACAGCCACAGCCAAATCACTAAAACATAAAACTACTAGTCATTAAAGCAAGTTCCTAACCCGTGAATTATGTAAGACTTACCTAGGGGAGAGGTATTTGTCATTTCCTTACCGTCTAACTAAAAGCTCAAAGATGTAATAAACCTTACAACCCTCAGAGTAACAGCCATGTCTGAAATTTGATGCCAAGAGTAATGATGTTTGGGTTCTTACCAAACTCGAAATACTGTTTTCTGAAACTACCTTGCTGTGCTTAGCAAAATTCTTGTGGGAAAAGCCATAATCACAAGCACAAAAGGATTCACCCAACTTCTTTGCACAAAAGACAGTTTAGTCATTATCTTCCAAGGCTGTGCTATGGAATTTGAGGCCTTTGATCTTACTCTGTCTTTTAAATACTCTTCCCTCCAGCTCCATGTTTACATGGATGGAGCTGGAGAATATTCTTCTTAGCAAAGTATCTTAAGAATGGAAGAAAAAGTATCCAATGTACTCAACCTTACTATGAAACTAATTTATAGCTTTCATAGGAAAGCTATAACCCAATTTTAGCCCAAGAATATGGGGAAAGGGGAGAGGGAGGGGAGGGGAGAGGAGAGAATGGCGGAGAGAGGGTGATTGGTGGGATCACGTCTATGGTTTATCCTATGGGGGTACATGTGAGTTTTTCTAAATGTAGAATATAAATGTCTTAACACAATAACTAAGAAAATGACATGAAGGTTATGTTAACCAGATGGATGAAAAGTATTTCAAACTGTATATAGAACCAACACTCTGTACCCATGATAGTATTAATGTACACAGCTATGATTTAATAAAAAATAATCTTCCTTTTGCTTTTTCAATAAGTCTCTCTTCTAATTCCCCTGACAACTCTCTGATTGATCTTTCTCAGGTTTGTTTTTTTTAGGTACCTGAAAAAGATTGGGTTCAACAGGCTCTTTTCACTCTTTCTCTCCCTCACAGTGTCTTAAACCATGCGCAATGTCTGCACAGCCATCACGGACTCACCATTCATTCTTTGCACAATAAGTGTTTGTTGAGAGTCTACCCAGAGCCTGGTACTGGGTTGGGCATTGGGGGTATAATGATGGACAAATTGACCAAGCCTCTCCCCTCCTGAAGCTGAGTCACCAGCTCTCCATGTCAACTCCCTGCATCAGTAAGTGCTACCATTATCTAGCTAGCTACCTAACCTGAATACCATCCAAGACTCCCCGCTCTTCTTTATAACTCATGTTTGATCATAACCATCCTCTTCTCTCATAGCCCTTTCTATTGCATTAGATTCCACAGGCTTGGTAAGCGTGTAATCTGCAGTGATTCCCTAACGAAGTTTCCAGTCTCAATTCATGCCTGAAACCTTTCAGTGACTCTCAGTTGACTTTAAAACAAAACCCAGATTTATTAGCCTAGCACACAAAGGCCTGAATTAACATTGCCTATTTACGTGTCTACACCATACCCTCAAAGCTCCCTGACTATAGGTTAGAGTATAAGGCTAATTATTAGGGCCCTCTTGTTTCAATTATGGCCAAATGACATGATTAACTTAACATAAGAGAAACACATGGAATTAAGGACAAAATTCTCATATACAGATGAGTACAGATACTAGACAATCTGACTTTCATTTTCCATTTATATATTATCTTATTAAACTGATATTAATTGAAGCTTCCTGCTCCATCAACAATATAGTCAGCATTTATTTTTTTCCTTTATTTTTAATATGCAACTTTGTCAGGATATGTGCTGCTGTTGGCCATTATGTACCAATATTACTAGGGTCTTTTGGGGTCTTTTTGACCTATAGAATCACAGAAAAGTTTTCTTCTGTTATATCTTCAATAAAGATCATGTTTCACTGGTTTCTGCCTTTTCATGAGAAAAACCATTTAGATTTGTACTAGATCTTCTTGGGTTCCATATTTATCAATTTTTCTATTACCATATATATATATATATTTTCAATTTATTTTGTATTTCATATATACCATATTCCTGACTGTTTTCAGTTGTGTATATTGTATTTCTTTTTCTTCTATCTAGGCTTTTAGTTTAGTAATTTTTCTATTTCATCTGAGCTCTGACCACTTGCTTTTTAAAACTATTTTTTAACGTCTTTTGCAAAACTTTGTATGATTTGGGGAACTATTTTATTAAGAAAGAATATATTATTTTAATAGTCTTGTGACTGTGGGGAAGCTATTTGTCTGACTTTATCTGCTTACTTTTGTAATAAATGGCCTCAAACACAATACCATGATAATCTATGATTCCTTTTGCCCTGAGACCACATCTCCATTCACTTTTGAGCTCAAACAATAAACCTGGTTCACTCCAAATCTCTAAAAGTTTCTCATAGTTTCATTGTGTTCCAATCTGACAATCATTGTCTCTTGTACTCTTTTCACTCCAAAGTGTCTCCAGCAGTCTCCCTGGGCTAAAAGTCTTTTATTAGACAAAATAAAATGACATGTCCATGTGGCTTTTCCTTAGACTCTATTTCTCCTGATGTCCTATAACACAAACTGGGTCTCTGATAGCAAATCCCCACTTCTTCCAGAGCCCATTCTCTCCCCTCATCTCACCTTCTCTATGAAAATGAAAATGTTGACTATGTTTTAAATGACCATGACATTTATTTGGGGGAAAATGTTGAGATCTGAAGAGGTATGTATTAGCTATCAGCGTATTATTGACAGGTTAATAATTCACTGCATTTGCAACGGTGTTGTAAAAGTTTAGGATTGGGTAAATATAACTTTTTCTACTTTTGCTCTCTTTTATAGTTTTCATACCATTAACCACAAGCCAAGCCTTTTATAAAATTTTATAAAATTCCAAGTCTTTAAAGCATTTATGAGCAAATGCTTATTTACTGTCATCTCATCATCTATTAGTTTTCAATTCTACTATTAGTTTTAATTGTACTGGTTTTCAATTATTACTTCACTTGTCTGTCTTCCCATCTCAATCCCATCTTTGGGGCTTGCTGTTTTATCAATGGATTTTTTTTCTATATAGTTGTTTCAAAACTTGTTCAATTTTTTAAGATCCGGAATAAGAAAAGCATAGCTGTTTTCTCAGGCCTTTTTCTTTGAATGGATACAACTGGAAAGAAAGTCAATAAAAATAATACTGTCCTTAAAAATACAGTAGAACCCTGATAGTTGCCCGCTTCCTTATGCTGACCACCTTAATTTTCATAGACCAGACATGCACCAATGTACAGCAGGCTTCATTCCTTATGTTGACCACCTCCACATGTTGACCAGTTTGTTATAGTCCCTTGGCTGGTCAACTTACAGAAGTTCTACTGTGGTTATGTTAAGTAACCACTTCCCAGCAGTCACTCTCTTTCAAGCATAATGTTTTCTTTTCTTCATAGATTGTAACACCGTCTGAAATCATTTTATTTGCTTATTGATTGAGCACACAGTCTGTGTTCCAATAGTGTGTAAGTTCCAAAAGAGTAGGAATGTTGCTTTTGTTACCACTATAAATCCAGGGCTTAGCTCAAAAGATGCTCAATGAATATTTGTTGAATGAATAGAGGAATAAACCCATAAGAATGTAACTACCCACAGTTAATACTTGCAAGTAAAAGATGAAGGCAGAGAGGCAGAAAGCAGCCAGAAGGCAAATGCTTTGTATACCCAGCTAAGCAACTTAGGTTTGGTTTTTAAACCATTTAGAAATCACTGAAGGTTCTTGGGACCAAGGAAACAATATTATTAGACATGTAGTTTAGGAAAAGAATTTCAATGCTATGCAGGAAGGTATTAAAATGGAAAGAGAAGACTTGAGGTGATGCCAACTAAGACCCATTTCAATAGTCCGAGTAAAAGATGACAGAGCCCAACTGGGAGCAGGAAGGAGGAAATGTGTTCCAAAAGTTTAGCAGTAGCTGGTGGCCAAGTAGATTTGAATAAGCAAAAAGTAAAGGGGAACCAAAGATCAAAAGAAATACACAAAGCCATTTCTGACAAGTGTTTACCAGGTTCTAAGGAATACCACATGTGTTTTGAAAAGATAAATACATTAGAAAATTGTTTGCAAAGTCCACCCAATATTCTTCCCTTAAAGTCATCATGTGTGCAACTTGCATTCCTTAGTGTCTGAAATCCCCAAGACTAAGGGACCTATAACAAAAGTCAAAATAAGTTATTGGAGGCATTAGTATTTGTGTATGAGATGTGTGGTTAGATGAAAGCATGCACATACACACACACACATACACACATCTTGGCGGTTCAGTTTCTCTGTAGAACCCTAATGTCGTAACTTTAACCCATTTGGGCTCCTCCCACTTTAACTGTAACATATTATATGTGTGTGTGTGTGTGTGTGTATATATATATATATATATATTCTTGCTATCATTCTTAAATTATACCACTTTTCTTCCAAATTAAATAATAAATTGCTTAAGGGACAAAATCATAGCTTAAAATGCTTTGTCTTTTCCCCTCACCAGTTCACAGCTTTTTTAGGTACTCAAATTAATTGCTGAATTGATGAGAAACAAGAAGGACACAGAGAATGCTGCTTAGAACTACTTAGGACCCTAGGTGGATGGATGGATGGATAGATAGATAGATAGATAGACGGACAGATAGATAGATAACTACTGAGTTAAGAGGCAGAGAAAATAATTGTTGATTGAATGGAGGTTTCCACATGGGAAATTGATTACTGAGTATCATATATTGTCCCAATATGCCCAGGTTGGCCCTCCATCTCATCCAAAGTAACATCTAATCTCTGTAAGTGGTGATTTGGCGATCTTGTGAATATTTATGTGATAACACATTTTACTTTTTTTTTTTATCATTTATATACATCAATTCTAAGTGATGACACTGTTCTGGGCCTACACACGTGTTTCCCCCAACACTCTCATATAGACTCTTCCCATCTCCAGGGCCACTTACGTCATACTTTCAGGTTCCAGTGCACAAGCCCCAACTGCTTTTGTGACATTCACAAGAAGAGCTTGATTTATTCCAACGAGGAGGTTCACCAGTGGCTGAATGCCACCACATTTCCGGACAATGACTCGGTTTTCATGCTCTTGGCAGCATTCCCCCAAGGCCCCAACCACGTTCACAAGTACTTCTTCAGGTTGGTCAGTTAAAAGTCCCACCAAGGTTTCAATGGCTCTGTATTCTCGAAACCTAATGTACAAAGAGAGAGAAAGAAGGGGATGGGGGTGGGAATAGCATTGCTTTTAGTATAAAGTTAGCTAATAACTTTAACAATAACGGCTAAAACATACTAAATACCAACTACCTGTTATTCAATGCTTACGACAAACCTGTGAAGCAACACTATTTAATTCCTATTATTGAACTGCTCATCTGAAGCTTGGTAAATGGTAGGGTTGGCATCCACGCCCACTATCTGCCCCAGACCTGTGCCCTTAATCACTGTGCTTTAACAGTCTCTACAAATAGGGCTTTCCCCAAATCTGAGTGTCTATCATTCCACTCTGTTAAAGGTATTTTCCCCATCTTAGGGAAACTGTTTCACAAAAACAAACTGTTCTATTGACTTGTGTTTTATTTTATTCTATTTATTTCTAGAGATGAGGTCTTGCTCAGTTTTCCACAGGCTGGTCTTGAACATCTGGCCTCATGAGATCCTCCCACCTCAGCTTCCAGAGTAGCTAGGACTGCAGGTGCACACCACTATACATTTACCTTATAAAGTATTCCAAATGTTTAATGAAACCTAAGCTAAGCAACTTAAGTTTGGTTTTTAAACCTTGAAAAGTCACTGAAGGTTGTTGGGGCCTAAGAAACAATATTATTAGACATGCAGTTTAGGAAATAATTTCAGTGCTATGCAGGAAGGTATTGAAGTGGAAGGAGAAGACTCGAGGTGATGCCAAATAAGACCCATTTCAATAGTCCAAGTAAAAGATGACAGAACCCACCTGGGACCTTAGGTTTAAAAGCCTATTTGCTTTTAAACATATCAACATGACTTTATTGTACCTATTTGGGTTTAATAAGTCTCTTAAAATAAATAGTAGCTTGTGCCACCTGGCTAAAAAGTCTGTCATCCTCAGATGCCGTTGGTATCAACCATTAATAAATTTTAGCATCTTGTCATACAATTTCACTCTGATCTTTTTCACCATATATATGTAAATATATATACATATATTTGTGTGTATGTGTGTATATGGAAAAATGTATATATATACACACACCAAAAGGAAGTATATGATACATAAAGATAAATATTTGAAAGGCCAGTCACGTAGGCTCTTGCTTGTAATCCTAGCACTCTGGGAGGCCAAGGTGGGTGGATTGCCTGAGCTCATGGGTTCAAGACCAACCTGAGCCAGAGTGAAACCCCCATCTCTAAAAATAGTCAAATGTTGTGGTGGGTGCCTATAGTCCCAGCTACTTGGGCAGCTGAGGCAAGAGAATCACTTGAGCCCAAGAGTTTAAGGTTGTTGTGAGCTATGACACTATGATGTGGCTGAATTTTTAAAGTTATTTAAGAGGAATTAAGTAACTTTTAATTAAAAGTTTAAACAGCTGAGGTTACTTTTAATCTCATCATTACTTCACTACACATTTGTTGTTTACTAAACTTATTTTGTGTTAAATAGATGTGAATTTCTTATTAAAGGAAATCATCAGATGGAGATAATTCAGATTGCTTGGAATACCCACCACTGAGAGCATGTACTGTAAAAATACATAAAGAGAAAGATTTGAAAATTAAAATAATTTAAATGATCATAAAATTTACAAATACTTTAAAATAAAACTCAAAGAAATCACATTAGAAAATGACTAAGAGTGACTCTTTAGTTGACATTTAGCTGATTCATTTTGCTTTTCCTCATGAAAAGGAAAAAGAATGAGATCACTTCCATTTCTAAAGATCTGGTGGGAAATGTAGCCCTTCACCTTGAGAGTTCTCCACAGAAATATCAGAGACATTTCTAATTAAAATGAGTGCTCATATGTGAAATAGCCTGTTTGCACAGCAAGACCATGTCAGCAAGCCTCCTAGACCTACTGAGGCACAGAAAATCATTGCCAGTTGGTGGGATGGGCAGAGAGTGCTTTCATTTCTAAGGATCCCTTCATTCTGCTAACTTCAGTGAAAATGTACATCTGCACCAAACACTAAAATCAACTATTACAATAGCATTAAGTTAGCAGTCCCAATCTTTTGGACACCAGAAACCAGTTTCATGGAAGACTATTTTTTCATGAACTAGGGGGATGGGGAAAATGATTTTGATATGATTCAAGCCCATTACGTTTATTGCAGACTTTATTTCTATTAGTGCTACATTGTAATGCACACATATAATGAAGTAATTATACAACTCACCGTAATACAGAAATCAGTGGGAGCTGAGCTTGTTTTCCTGCAACTAGATGGTCCCATCTGGGAGTGATGGGAGAAACTGATACCTGAAGTGTGTTGCTCATGTCCTTAGCTCCACCTCCGTTCACCAGGTGTTAGATTCTCATAAGGAGCCTGCAACCTGGATCCCTCACCTGTGCAGTTTACAGTAGGGTTCATGCTCCTATAAGAATCTAATGCTGCCCTGATATGACAGGAGGTGGAGCTCAGGTAGGGATATGAGTGATGGGGAAAGGCTGTAAATACAGATGAAGCTTTGTTCACTTGACAACTGCTCACCTCCTGCTGTGTGGCCCAGGCGCTGGGCCAGGAGGGTTGGGAATCACAGCAGTAAATTACAAGAATGTGTTTGGGTAGTCACATTTTTATTACAGAATACTGAGTGCCTTCTCTTACTTGGTCACATTCTCTTTGCTGATGGAACACTTCCATATTGCCCCGGTGACAGCAGCTAACCGTTCTTTATTGTCAGTGTTATTGAGCAGAGTGGCCAGGGGTTTAAGTCCTCCATGCAGCCTAACCAGGTCCCGGGTTTCTTCATCTTCAGCACACTGCACAAAAGTCAAATCGGAGGTGTTAGCAATCAAGAGGTATCAAGCTTTCAGTGATTGCTAAAGTGGCTGCCATTCTAGGACCTGGGTGACTTCCAAGAGCATCATTTTCTGAAGGTAACCCAAAGTAAAATGTAATTCTCCTCTATACTGGAAGCTACCTGACAGGTGTCTCTCCCTTTAAGTGGTTTCTATATACACAGTGATTCTCCCAAGCCAGTTCTAGATTTCTTGCTGACATCTGCCTCTATAGAGGAAGATTTCTGGAACCCAGAATCTTGGGAAAATGTAGCAGAGAAGACAGATAAGTGACAGGGACTTGGTCAGATCTTCAATGACCCCTGAAATCTGGAGATGAAGAATTTCCCTAACAGGATTGCTATGCCCAGAGCAGTGGCTTTAGCAAAAGTACCTAACATTTAATTCAAAAATATTTATCCAAGTTTGTATCATCCTTTGAAATAAATACTAACTGCATGTTCCCACCTGAGCATTCTCGGGTCATAGAGCCAACAGATGACAAATCTTGCATAGACAATGATCCCGAGCTATGGTTGTCTTCTGATGCCATGTGATGCAGACATGTGACCTTCATCTTGCATGAGGGACACCAGAAGAAATCCTCAGCATAATATGTCATAGAGGCACTCGCCTCTTTCTCTTCTCTGTGTGATTTTTTATTTCATTTCAGAACAACTTTTAAAAACTACTCACTATTTCTAATCTACTCTGTAGTTAATATGAGGCAGATATACAAATCAAAGCTATCTGTCATTGCTATGGGCTGAGTTGTGTCCCTTCAAAATTCTATGCTGATGTCGTAACTTGTATTCCCTCAAAATGGGACTGTATTTGGAAACAGGGTCTTTATAGAGGCAATGAAGGCTAACTGAAAGCAGTAGGGTGGGTCCTAACCCAGGAGGACTATTGTTCTTATAAAAGAGATTACAGCACTGACATACACAGAGGAAAGGCCATTTCAAGACATATGGAGAAGACAGTCATCTACAAGCCAAAGTGAGAGAGACATCAGAAGAGTCCAACCATGACCTTGAACTTCTAGCCTGCAGGACTGTAAGGAAATAAATTTCTTGTTGTTGAAGCCACCTAGTCTGTGGTACTTTGATATGTCTGCGCTGGCAGTGAAGTGCAATCCTCTATGGAGATAGATTCTTCTTCTGACGTTCCCTCACTTTGCACCTCCTAAGTTCATTCCTGTAGGAAATCTACTTTGATTAGGTACAAGCTGGCGTGGTCAGTAACCACCCACATGCGAACTTTCCAAGGCCATTTTTCTCTCCTTACCATCCTAATCTGTTTTCTGATATACTATGAAATTTATAACGCACAAAAAGTGACTGAAGGTTAATATAAATTAACTAATTAAAAGATGAAAACAACACACCTTCATTCACCCACCTTGTCTTGATACTAACAGCTACATTTCCTGAGATCATTGTGTTTGAATAGGACACAGAGGCGAGGGCACCATGTACTTATTTATCTATTTTACACTCAGTAAGTTCTTTTAGGAGACAAGGATATATGTACGTGTATTCTAGGAATGTAAATAGAATCACACATGTGGAAGCAAGTTTCTCTGACATACATACGTATCTGTCATTACCACAAGATAGCACTTCTCAGACCTACGTATGCCTGAAAATCCACTGTAAGGCTCCGGAGTCCCATCCCCAAAGACCACATGTTTAGAAACTCTTTCATAAACTACACAAGAAAGAACATCAACAGCTGCCAGAATAGTTTGCCATACCTGATAGATGGCCATGGCGCAGTGCTCCTGAAGCTGCTCATTCTCACTGTTCAGGTTCTTGACGAGATTTTCAATGATCCTTTCTGCTTTGATGGCAGCTCGGTAGTTTTCCTAGGAAGAAAAACTTAAATATTTATGGGTGATCAACATGGGTAATAAAAACTTAAATATTTATTCGTACAAGGCCAAAATAGAAGTTAGTCTATTTACAGTTATTAATAATTATGTTGAACACACTTTCTTAGTAAACAAACCCCAAAGGCCAAGCGTAACTCATCCACACACAGTAAGGGAATTAGTCAATGTTAAAGAAATACACAGGGTGTCTGTAAAGTTCATGTGCAATTTAAAATGGTGAATATTTTAAAATAGTGAATATTTCAAATTGCACATAAACTTTATAGACACCCAGTATATCACATAGCTTCTAACTTAATTAATGCCCCATTCATTTGATCTTCTCTTTCTAATAGAATGCTGACTTCCTGAAAAAGGAAAAATTCCTTGGGCGGTGCCTGTGGCTCAGTGGGTAGGGCGCTGGCCCCATATACCGAGAGTGGTGGGTTTGAACCCAGCCCTGGCCAAACTGCAACAAAAAATAGCTGGGCATTGTGACAGGCACCTGTAGTCCCAGCTACTTGGGAGGCTGAAGCAAGAGAATCACCTAAGCCCAAGAGCTGGAGGTTGCTGTGAGCTGTGACGCCACCGCACTCTACTCAGGGTGATAAGAAGAGACTTTGTCTCTAAAAAAGAAAGAAAGAAAAATTCCTTGAGCAATCATGACACCCTTAAAAGTGATTTTGTTTTCTTTTTTTAGAGAGTCCCACTTTGTCACCCTTGGTAAAGTGTCGTGGCATCATAGCTCACAGCAACCTCAAACTCTTGGGCATAAGCAATCCTCTTCCCTCAGGCTCCCAAGTAGCTGGGACTACAGGCACATGCCACAGCACTGCACTATTTTTCAAAGATGGGGGTCTCACTCTTGCTCAGGCTGGTCTCAAATCCTGAGTTCAAGTGATCTGATCCACCTGCCTCAGCCTTCCAGCATGATAGGATTATAGGCATGAGCCACCTTGCCCAGCCCTAAAAATGATTACTTTCTTCTTTTTTTTTAACTAAAGAAAGTCAAGGTGAGAAAGCCAGGGAAGCAAGTGGTGTGGGTACCTCAGATGCACATTCTTGCAGTGTCCCCACCACCGGAATTAGCATGTTTTCATGAGACGTCTTCAGTAAGCGAGCCAACAAAGGAATGCCCCCAGCTCTGCGGATCGCCTCTTTATTGGCGTAACTCTTACTGCAACTCCACAGTGCCAGGGCCCCGCAGCGGGCCACTTCCACATCTCTGGCCTCATATAGACTCGACTGAGCCGGTTCTGTTGAATTCTGTGCACAGTCAAGTAGAGTCACCTACAATTATAGAGAAGTGAGACATAGCCATTAAAGTAAAACTTAATGCATCCTTTGAGAACTATGAGATTTCCACAAAGCTCACCACTGCCAAAAATAAGAATGCTCTAAAACATAGTTAGGTAAATGAATAATATTTGATAGCACAACAAATTGAGTAGCGCCAACTGTGAGTCATAGTATATACTTTAAAATAACTAAAAGAGTAGAAATGTAACATTCCTAACACAGAGAAATGATAGATGCTTGAGGTGATGGATACCCCAATTACCCTCACTTAATGGGTATGTGATGCTTGTAATCAAGCATACACATATGCTTGTAATCAAACATCATACATACCCCATAAATATATATAACTATTATGTACCCATAACAATTAAAAATAATTTTTTAAAAAAAACACTGCTTTAAAAAAAAAAGAATTTTTTTTTTTTTTTAAAAAGCTTTCCTACCATATAAAAAATAGTGACAGCAAAGAAACAAATAAAACTTTCAAAACACTTTCCTCTAGATTTGGGAGCTTTTATATTTCCTTCCCATAAGAAATTTAATCCCTGGCTCAGAGCCTGTGGCTCAAGCAGCTAAGGCACCAGCCACATACACCTAAGATGGCGGGTTCAAATCCAGCCTGGACCCGCCAAACAATAATAATGGCTGCAACCAAAAAATAGCCGGGCATTGTGGCAGGTGCCTGTGGTCCCAGCTACTTGGGAGGCTGAGGCAGGAGACTCGCTTGAGCCCAGGAGTTGGAGGTTGCTGTGAGCAGTGAAGCCATGGCACTCTACCCAGGGGCTCAGCTTGAGGCTCTGTCTCCAAAAAAAAAAAAAAAAAGAGAAGGAAAGAAATTTAATCCCACAAAGATAGTGTTTTCTTAATATGGGTCTAGGAACAGATTTGTACACATCCTCAGCCCTAGTATTTCAGAAAACTAGCTTCTCCAAAACTATAGAACTTTCCAATGAGAAATGAATGGGTTGTACACCCCTAAAATTACCAGACCTCTTTGAAGGATGGAAGCCACCACACATTCTACCAAAACCAACCAAACCAAGATGGCACAGCTGCCAGCATACACGTTTTTCTTTGCAAAAACTCAAGTCGCTGAAAATCTTAAGGGAAAAAAGGCAATTTCCTATGAGGACAAAGCAGTATGTCAGGTTGCCCCATGGAAGAGGTGAAGCCAGGCCCCCCCCCAGAGATGCAACTGATCATTAGGGGAAGCTGTCAGCCATTCTTGTACATCTGCTGCCTTTATCTGAGGACTCAGAAGTCATCATCAATGAATATCTACTCCATTCTTCTGTCCCTGCAGGCCAAATTCCATGGATACCGCCCACATAGTCATAACCACCAATCCCAAATTTAGAAGAGAATAGCGCAGGTGAAGTGGAGTCTTTCAATCTCAATTCCAAATTCTTAGGAGAGAGATCCAGTGGACTACCTTGAGTCAGGTGGACACCCATGGTCTAATTGGCTATGGTCCAAGGAAAGACAGGGACAAACAGTATTTATGTGATTTACAGATACCAACTGCAGGTAGGAAAACAATGCAGAAAAAGTTCTAAGATGATGGGATTGAACACAGGGCAGACAGCCTAGGAGTCTGCCTTCATTAGTCCCTCATTATCTATGAAGTCCAGACTCCTGAACTCATTTTATCTGTCTGGATAAGGACCTGTGTGACAACATGGTCCTTCATCTCCATCTCCCAGTTCCGCCCATCTCACCCTAGATCTGGCCACATCAAACTCAATGCTGTTTTTCAGCTCTGGGTCTTTATCAATGCAGATTCATCTTCCTGAAATGCCCTTTCCGGGTCTCCTTTCTAGAGCCTCTTCCTTCAAAGAAAATCAATTGAGCATCCTCTTCTATTCCTCCACCATTCCCAGTACTGACTTCAATGAAATACTTCCATTCATTAAATACCACCATTACACTTAATAGTTCCATCTATATCCTCCCTGCCCCTCACACTCCCACCATCACTGTGGTCAGGGACATGGTCATTTTTATTTTTTTTATTTATTTCTTTTTGAGACAGAGTCTTGCCATGTCACCTCAATAGAGTGCTGTTGCATCACAGCTCACAGCAACCTCAAAGTCTTGGGCTTAAGCAATTCTCTTGCCTCAGCCTCCCAAGTAGCTGGGACTATAGGCGTCCACCACAATGCCTGGCTATTTTTTTGTGGTAGTTGTCATTGCTGTTTGCCAGGCCTGGGCTGGGTTCAAACCCACCAGCTTTGGTGTATGTGGCTGCCCTAGCTGCTAAGCTACAGGCGCCAAGCTGGTCATTTCTATTTCTGCCACCTCGTTCTGTGCCTGACATATAGTGCCACTCAGGAAATGTTTGGCATGTTTTCCTGTGCAAGGGTAAGGAAGCTATCTATGGACACAGCCACAGTACTGACACAGCACTGGTATGAGCACATAGTCACCTGGATTTTGCAATATTTCCCACCCTGGATGTTTTCTTTCTGCTTGCACTGACCTTACATCTGCTCAGTCCTCTGTCAAGGGTGCCTCTCAGACATCGAGTCATCTCCTTCATTTCCAGTTTTACTTGGGGACTCCTGCCTATATGCTGCCTACCCCAGGCACCCCATGCATAGCAAACCAAAACTCCATCTCCATTCTTCATCCATCCCAGATGAGTTATCAACCCAGCAATTACAAGTCTATTACCGGTCTACCTACTACTGGTCTTTCCTGTTCCTAATTTAAAGTTGTATTAAAACTTATGTCATTATCTTGATTAGGTTAAGAGCAATTGTCCAAATATAGCAAGTTTTTGTTGTTGTTGTTATTCATTGTTGTTTTATTCAATGTCATTTCATTATAATGTTGACGAGGAAAAAAAATCAATTCCTGATAGGGGCCACGATCTGTGTGAAGTTGGCACATTGTTCCCATGTCTGCATGGGTTTTCTCTCACATTCTACAGATGTGCACAGTAGGTGAAATTGTCTAAATTGTCCCTGTAAAAGGAAGTATGTGTGTGTGCCTGTGTGTGTGTGTGTGTGCGCAAAGGAAAACTGTCCTCTCCAAGGTTGGGTTCAGCCTGACACTCAAGCTGCCAGGACAAGCTCCAGCTGCCCACAACCCTGAATTAAAATAAGCAGGCTGGAAAATGAATAAATGAATGAATGAATGAATCAAAATGACAGTACAATGCAAGTTCCTAAGGCATACGGTAATTATGCAAATACACAACATTGACCAATGAGGTAGGACAGAAAGCACTCAGCAAGCCCACTGCATTTCTCACTGTTTTGGAGCCGCACGGTGGAAGGAGATACTCCTTCATTTTTGCTTTACAAACATTTGTTCCTCGATTTGATCCAGCACCACTATGACACTCACTGATTCACCAAAAACAGAGTAAATAATTCTCTTACTCTTTTTTATTCATCTTTTTAAATGCACGAAGAGCTTCTATTTAATGTTTAATATTAACACCTAGTGTTTAGGGTCTTTATTTAAAAGGCTTGGTGATTTTTTTTATAACCAGAACTATGATAGGAACTTAATTCTTGTTTATATCCATTGACCTATGATAAAGATGGGTTTCATTATACATTGTCTTGCTTAAAATTGCAGTTTCCAAGAAACTATCCTCGATGGCAAGTGAGGACTTACTATATTAGGTTCCCCCAAATGATGCCTAAGACTGTCCTAAAAACATATTTTAGTTTTAGGTTTTCAGATAGATCTCAGTCTTCCAGCTAACAAGGAGATGACTAAGAACCCACTGCTCAGAATGTCCCTCTGGGAGAGAGTCCTCACAATGAGTTCACCGCATTAGAGGCCTTGAGAGACTTTCCACTGGGCAGTTCTCACCATCTCTTACTGCCCCTGGACATACGTGTGCTCTCCTTCCTCCCAATGTCCTAGGCAGTAACAATCACATCTAGTTTTCAAATTTTCTATTTCTTTGAAAAATGAATTTGAACAAGTTTCTTGGTCACTTACTAATGTAAACATGCAAAAAACAAACAACAACAACAACAAAAAACTAAGAACATGTGATTAAAAAAAAACCAAGAGTCCCAGAAGATGCCCATACAGCTGTGGCATCTCTGGAGAGACCAGGAAGGGGCAACAGGGAGGTGCCCAGCGGCAGAGGCTGGTGTGCCCAGAGGGTGGTATTAGTCATACTCACCAGTTTGGTGATGCCTCCGTGCTGCCTCACCACCCGCCGGGCTCTTCTAAACTTGGCAACATTAGCGATGGTCTCAGCTGCCAAACATTTCAGCCTCTTATGTGGAGAATCAAGTATATTCACCATAATCGGTAAGCCCCCAAGGTCAACAATACTACGTCTGATTTGAGAATTCTGACTGATTTCCTTCAGGATTTTTAATGAACCAATCTGCATGAGGACAAAGAAAAGTTACAGGTGAAGGAGTGCTGAACATACCACCAGGGCTGTGTTTTTCGAAAATTCCAAGGCTACCTAAATTCCTTCCCCAATTAAGTTTTGTTACAAAATAGTTTCCACCCCCAGTGGTTCCGCACATGCTCCATATTTGTCCTTCGTGTAGGTAAACAAACATTGTTAGAGATGAATGGAGAAGAGAGAGAGGAAAAGCAGAGAGAAGAGAAAGCACAGCTGATAAAAGTAGCAGGTTGCTTGCCAGCAATGATAGCAGATAAAAAAAAGAAACAGGTGGCGAGGAGGGCAGACCCCTGGGGCTGACATGAGAGACACAAGAAGGTGGCTACGAGACCCTTCGTACACCGGGGTGGAGTCACTCACCTTACATTTGACCTCATCTGTATCAAGCAAATTTATTAACACTTCCAGGCCTCCAACATCTCTGATGGCCAGCTGGCAGGTCTCTTGAGCTAGGTTGAAATCCTTCATTGAGCATAATGCAATCACTGTAGCTGTCTGGTTCCCTCCCTAGAGAGACAGGATGTCAGAGAAAGGTGAAATACAACCATGTTCCCATCGAAGTGTGCTAAATAGTTACAGATCCATGGACTACTGAGTGGGCTCTAATTTGTTCAAAGAATCATATGGAGCTGAAGCCCAGAAAAGCTGCAGAGAGCATCGTAAAACATTGTTCCAATTAAGAGTCAACATTAAAAGGCAGTCTCTCCTTTAAACAGCTATGACATTTGATGGCTTTAGAATTTTAGAGTCAAGTGGCAAAGCCTGAGAGATGGACTGAGGAACAGAGCTGTATATAGTGGGAGGGGATGGTCCTCTCGCACCACCTGCTCTTGATCAGTGTATCATGTAACGCAAACCATGCCTGCAAATTATTCTTACAGATGTAGGTAGAACATTCTAGAACAGTAAGAACCTGGAGAAAGGGAAACAAGGCAGGAAACTGTACAGTAGTCCAGACTGGGGCCTCAAGCAGGTGTGGGGAGGGCTGTGGGGTTTGGAAAAAGATGGCAATTCCAGTAAGACCTGGAAGTGGACTGCAAGGGCAGATACAAAGTGGAAAAAGCTTTGCCATGGTGAAAAAAAATGCCAGCCCCAAGTAGAAAATCACAGCAGCCAATGTCTGCTTGGCCAATCACCACGTGTAAAGAGTAATGGTCAGTTGCTTCTTTAAAGTAAACAACAAAGGCTCAGCACCCATGGCACAGGGTTACGGCGCCAGCCACATACACTGAGGCTGGTGGGTTCGAATCCGGTCAGGGCCAGGTAAACAACAATGACAACTGCAACAAAAAAAAGCTGGGCATTGTGGTGGGTGCCTATAGTCCCAGCTACTTGGGAGGCTGAGGCCAGAGAATCACTTAAGCCCAAGAGTTTGAGGTTGCTGTGAGCTGTGATGTGACATCACTCTACAGAGGGTGACATAGTGAGATTCTGTCTCAAAAAAAAAAAAAAAGATAAACAACAAAGTCTGAAAGATTAAAAAAAATTAATGATTGATCAGTAAACCAGACTTGTCAGAAAATTGATTTTTATTTTGTTTTATTTTCATTTCAGATTAATATGAGGGTTCAAATTTTTAGGTAACATTATTTTCGTTTCTAAGGTGAAGCTCAAGTTGTAGTTTTAAATCAGAATATGCTGCAGCAATTCTTAAGCAACGTCCACAGGTCACAACCACCTTGAAAATCTTCCAAAAAACGTAGCATAGAGCATATTGCTGCTGTGGCTGCAAAGATGGGCTGGCAAATAAGAGTGCCAGCCTAAGTACTGAGGGCATTCACAACTCACAAAAGCAGTACTTCTGTTGGAATTGAGAGTGAACTATTTTTGTAAGTGGTGCTCATCCTTTAATCCCTGCCTCAAAATGGTACCGATGGCCCCCAATTACCCTTTCTTTTAAGAAAAGATACCTTCAAATTATGTTTATTTTCATTTGTTAATCATTATTTTATATGCCATTATCTGTTTTTGATATATGAAAAATTGTACACATAGATAATGTATGAATAAAATAGAAACTGTTACCAATTATATAGGGTGGCCATAAAGTTTGCATGCAATTCAAAATAGTGTAAATAAGGTGACAATAGTCACCTTGTATATAAAATATGCACATTACTTATTTTATACACCCACACACACACCCCTATATATCCAGAGTGTTTCAAAAAAAATGTATATGCAATTTAATAAAGGAAAAAACCATATGAAGATTGTAATATTCAGGTCATGCTTGACTTCTGCAATTGTAAGAGATATAAGCTTACAAACTTTTCAGTATAGAGTGTTACAATTTTAATACAGAATTTTTTCCTTCTTAAAATGCGTATACATTTGTGCCATCTTCTGTATTTTGTGTTTAAATATAATATTAAAATTTAAAAATAGATTATGATACATATGTATCTATTAAAATATTTATATCGATATAAAAATATTTATACCATACTTACTACAACAGCCACCCATATCATAACTCATCTGAGGAATTACTGAGAATAAGATATTCTCCTGGCAAGCGTGGAAATCTCTTGTCACTTGGAAGGCAAGCCACCAAGTAACTCAGTAATCCTGGAGGAGCAAAGTTCAGTCCTGTAGTAAGTAGTAAGGCTTAGCCGCACCTCTTGCAGCATGTACTGTCAATCTGTGTCTCGCGTGATCATTTATGCGGTCGTGACATTTTTAGATATAATTAGGGTGACCAGATTTTAACATTGGTAATGCGGGACAACATGGCTGGGGGTGGGGCGGGGCGGGGCAGGGCCTGACAACAAGGCAAACTTTGATAAGCCGTTCTCCACAATCACTTCTCAACAATTATTTGTTATTATTACAGTTTAACATTATAAAATTAACAAAAATAGTATAAAACTCATATCCTGGCAAAATAGCCACATGGCAGTGAAAACCACATATTCCTCTCCTGTTCTCCTGCCGGATCGTGCATTCTTTCCAAAAATTGGGACTTCTTTAAAACGCTGTGGGATGCAGGACAAATTGTTAAAAAGCAGGATATCTAGTCACCCTAGATATAATAGATAATGTGCACAATGACTTAGCACAGAAATTGGAAAGTCCATACAACTGCCCAAACCCCTACTCCTTCATATCACACACAGGCGCACCAGCAAATCCTTTTATGAATTCAACACAATATTGCTTTTAAAATAAGAAACTGTAATGGGATTATTAGAGGAGCTCGAGTGAAGATGGAAAGGTTTAGCATTCAGCCTTTTCTCATACCCCTGTTAGGAAATTTCCTTCCACATCTCTAGAAATGCTATGAACAACTATCCATGGAGACTTCACTGACGATTTCCATTTTTCACATGAATTCTCGCTGCTGTCTTCTCTATCCAAGATCAAGTTTAGAATGCCCTGAGTCTTAATTCTCTATTATTTATATTTAAAATAATAAATTGTGTTCTTACAGCTTTTAGTGTTTCTTTCTCCTTCCTAATAAGAGAAACGGTACCATAGCAAATTTTCCTTCCAGTCATTTCTAAAATATAAAATAATAAATCCTTCCTCCCTAATTTGGGGGCATGAGACTCATACATGCCAGCACATCCAGTTCCTTTTAGAAAATCAAAAGGCAGGGGTGTGCCTGTGGCTCAAAGGAGTAGGGTGCCGGCCCCATATATTGGAGGTGGCGGGTTCAAACCCAGCCCTGGCTAAAAACTGCAAAAAAATAAAATAAAATAAAATCCAAAGGCAGATATTCTGCAAACCACAAAGAAAGATTTACATGCTAACCAGGATGCATTAAAGGATATTATATAATGCACAAAAAAAGAAAGAGAAAAGAAGATAAGAAAGGCCGTTAGCATTTGAGCAAGCCCCCCTCCCTTTTTTCCTTCTGAATTTAAATAGTGGAAAGGACACAGAAACGTCTAGGATGGAGGGTCGGGGGTGTATCTCTGCTGGAACAAAGCTGGGTTTCTCTGTTACGAGTTGGACAATCCAAACCCAGAGCTTCAGATAGACAGAACTCTTTAGTAAGAATGACTAGAAAGTGAGATGTGGAACGGGCTGGGTGCTCCAGTTAAGCCTAGAGCCTCCTCCCACCCCCAAGTCTAACTCCCCCGAGGAAGAACGTACTGTCCTGACATCCCTTGTGCCTGAGCAAGGATTTTCCTGACTGCTATTCTTGCATTCTAATATTTTCTTTGGTAGCAATTTTCAGCTTATACACTCAGCACGATCTTTGTTCCCTATTCGAAGCGTCTTAACTTTTCTAGGCTTTTTCCAACCTCTGGGGCTTTATATCATTATTTACACTAGAACCAATGACATAAACTTTTTAAAGGTCGTTTCATTCCAGCAGATGCAAAGGTAAGAGTTTATATTTTCCTGAATTATCTCCAGGCCAGTTTGGAAGTCAAAAGAGTGACAATGAAGAAGTTAGATCCTTAGAGGGATTAAAAAAAAAAAAATTTTTTTTCTGTAAATCATCTTTTTTTTTTTTTTTCTGAAAATCTGGAAACATATTCATAGGCTGGAGGGATTTTTTTAGAACGGTTTTATATTAGGGAAAGTTAGTTTTTCCACATTTCAGGATTTAGTTTTACTCTTGTCACTGACCACACTCCCAAAAGGACTATAAATCTTTCAGAATGAATACCAGAGGCCTAGAGCCAAAATATTCAACATACAGAGCCACAAATGTTAGCCAATTGCTATTCTTTAAATACCAGCTATGTCAAAGGATTTCGAATGTTTGGCCTACCCCGTCCAGGTGCCATAAACATCTAACTGAGGAGAAACAGTGCAAATACCCTCCTTTTCAATTAAATCCCCCCCGAGAACATCATTAGTTGCCAATACTTATTTTCGCATTTTATCACGCATTTGCATTTGTGGGGTTTTTTAAAGAACTGGAGAAAATACAGTAAAACTAGCCTCTGAAAGGTTTTGAAAGATGCCCCCAAATAAGATTTTCCACTTCTTAAATTAATGCAATTCTCTTCCTAGTTGTCCTCCCGCCACCCGTTTCTTCTCAGACATCTCCGGGCTCTGTCAGCCTTTGGGTGTTTTGCACTTGACATTCCTTTCAATGACCAGGAGACCCTTCTTAGTTCATTGTCACCATCAGGTGGCGAAGATCGAATGGATGTCGCTTCCTCTCACTTTTATTAAAATTTCTTTTTAAAAAGACTAGATAGGCTCAGCGCCTATAGCTCAACCGGCTAAGGCGCCAGCCACGTACACCTAAGGTGGCGGGTTCGAATCCCCAGCCCGGACCCGCCAAACAACAATGACGGCTGCAACCAAAAAATAGCCAGGCGTTGTGGCGGGCGCCTGTGGTCCCAGCTACTTGGGAGGCGGAGGCAGGAGACTCGCTTGAGCCCAGGAGTTGGAGGTTGCTGTGAGCTGTAATGCCACGGCACTCTACCCAGGGGGACAGCTTGAGGCTCTGTCTCAAAAAAAAAAAAAAAAAAGAAAAAAGACTAGATGAATGGAGGCTATTTTTCGAAACCATTTTTTTTTTTAATGACTTCGAATAA